GTATATGTACTTGGAAATACACAGATCCCTCGTGTAAGGTATACCAATCATTTTGCCTAGTCCTTGATGCATAGGCTGATAGGCAGGCTCAAGATAATTGACTGTCCACCTCGCTCACTGCTGCAATATTTTAGGTTTGTTTCAAGAACAGATCAGCACTTTTTATCGTCGCCCTGTTGGCGACATGAGCTGATGTAATGGCGGTTTAGTGATCCTTCAGCCTGTTCGTTTCTTTCGTAAACGATCGTAAATTTTCAGTCGGGAACAGTGTTTTTGTCTCACACCAAACCAGCCAGCAGTAAATAATCCACGATACGATACGGCCTCCCGAACAGGCCGCTTGTTGTTTAATAGCAGTGCGATGCACCTCCAAGGCAGCCAGTGCTTTTCAATCAGGCAGGGCCACAGGGGTGACTGCAGCTTTGTTCACAGCCTGCTCCTGTGAATGGAGCAGAACATCGCAATCCGGCAGCGGTCGCTCCTACCACTTCACGGGGCTAATGTCCAGCCCAGAAAAAGAGCAGAACATCGCAATCCAATCAGACATGTAGATACAAATCAGTATTCTCTGGTGGTGTACAAAAGTACTACCACTACAGAGTAGACAGTACGTACATTCTAACAAGTTCAAATCACTTCTCTGCTGATCCGAATTCTTTAGGTGCCATGTGTGCACCAAGAGGAAGAGCTTATCTGACAGATCGTTTTGCAGCGGCCGACACTACAGCACAAATCATTTTAGAAGGCAGTGTCCAAACATTAATGGAGGCGGACACAAAATCCAACCGCCTTCTAAGGCTGCGTTCGGCTGATCTCAAACCCGACTTGATCCGCTTCTTTTTTTAGTCAGAACGGTGTTTTTCTCACAAAATGCCAGCCGCTACAGTGTTTTCAGCCAATACAGTTTTTTTCAGCCACTACAGTGAAATTTTTGGGTCAGCCGAACGCAGCCTAAAATACTGGGCTATTAATGGAGGCGATCTTTTTTTTTACCGAGGCGGTCACGTTTGCCCGTCTCGTAAAATCGATTTACTGAGGCGGTCAAAATCCAACCGCCTCATAAAATCGATTTACGGAGGCGGGCGCCGTAAGACAATCGCCTCCAAAAATAAGAAAATGCCAATCATTTGATCATTATATACATTTTTGAGATATTTTGTTTTTTTATTTGTTAATACTGTCTCCGTAAATCGATTTTAGGAAGCGGCCACGCTATAAAACCTGCCTAAAAAAAGCCTAGGCCCAACATGCCCATGCGCAGCCGGATAGCCGTCTTCATATAAAAAATAGAGGAAGTTAGGGTTTCTTCCTTCAATCACTCTCTTTTCCTCTCCCTCTCCCTCCTCAGCCGAGAGCGGTGTTCTCCCTCCGATTCCCTCCGACTCCTCCGCGCCCCATCCTCCCCGCGCTCTCTCTCCCTCAGCTCTCCCTCTCCCCCATGGCAGCACCCACCCGATGCCCACCCCTGCGACGGCTCTTCCCTCTCCCCCACAGCTGGCGCAGGGCGCCCTCTCCTCTCCATCTCCCCCACGGAGCTCGATCGGCGGCGCATCCTTCTCCCTCGAGCTCGTCCGGCGCACGGGGAGGCCGGATCCGGCCCTGGCACGAGCGAATCTGGCGGCGGCAGGCTCCACCACATCGGATCCGGCCCGGTGCATCTGGCCCCGGCGCGGGCGCATCCGGTGGCAGCGGGCTCCACCACGGCGTCCGGAGGCGGCGGCGGGACACGTGGTGGCGGTGGAAGCGCGCGCACCGCGGTGGAAGGCGATAGGGCGAGCGGTGTGGACAGCAGCAACCGTCTCGGTTAATCAGTATTAACCTTGACTTTTGATGGGAGATGGTTGCTTTGTCCGTATCCGTAAATCATTTTTGACCGCTAAAAAAAGATTTCTGTATTAGTGTGAGTGCCGCCTTGGATACTCAGTATTAACTGTGACCTTTGTCGGAGGTGGTTGCTTTGTCCGTGTCTATAAATAATTTTTTACCGCCTAAAAAAAATCTGTAGCAGTGTGAGTGCTCATGTGGCCGAGAGAAGTTTCGATGGCCTTGGCCTACATACTGGGTCCGGTCCAGCAGCTTTCGGTTTGTTCGTTTGCTACGCCCGTGTTTAGTTGCAAAAAAAAAGTTTCAAAAAAATGCTACAGTATTCATCACATCGAATCTTGCGATACATGTATGGAGTATTAAATGTAGATAAAAAAATTAATTACACAGTTTAGTGAGAAATTACGAGACGAACGTTTTGAGCCTAATTAGTTCATGATTGAACACTAATTACAAAATAAAAACGAAAGTGCCAAAATAGCCAAATTTCAACTTTCTCCTCAACTGAACAAGGGCTACGTCAAGTAGGCCACTCACGGGGCTGAATCAGCAGATCTTTGACTCGAATATCAGCTAGAATCAAGACCTCGTTCGGCTGGTATAGTTCCAGCTTGTTTCAGCTTATTTTAACTTATTCTCTCACAGAATACTATTCAATCATCAAAAGAATCAAAAAACACTGTGCACCGGACCATCCGAACGTGAGCGAAATCAGATCCGATGATTGATCCAATTCTTCTTGCAACCTCTGGATATTAGTTTATGGCATGTCGTTAACACCCGATCGACACTTGGACTTGATGTTCGATCCCTGATGTTACTTGGCAGAAATGAAACGAAACGTGTATCCGACTGCCCTGTCCGACCTGCGTACGCACGACACTACTGTGCTGTGTGCACAACCGATCAAAGGGAAAGCTTTCTGCTGCCTGAGCCCACATGGAGTGCAACGATGATGCACCGTGATTTGCTTGGGGGAATCTACTATCGTGGGCATGAATGTTGTGAATTGTGATGTTCAGATTTTGTTGCCATGAGCTATGGGAGAAGCCACACACGACACCCAAAGCACTAGATGCTTCCATGCATCGGTATCCAAGTTGGGGGTAACACAGGTGGTCTGAAAACAAACAACGAACCGCCACAGGCTCGCTGGATATGATGATTTTGGCGAGCACGAATATTTATGTATGGCACGTAAAAACCTGCTCCGGCCTGCAAACCAAGAGCCATAGGATGCGATCCCGCGGTCGTATGGACATGGATGTCGGGATTCGGCTCCGGAAGATTGGATGAGGCAGACGACACGACCTACGAGACAACCAAGATCCTCCGATCCGTCGCGGCGTCGGTGTACCTTCTTCATCCAGAACAAGTGGACGCGTCGAAAATATCATACAGCTAGGCAGAGGCCCGTACCGTACCGTAATAGTACGCCGGCGAAAAATGAGGGGCGAGATGGAGAAAGAGGAAAATTCGTGGCGGTCTTTTAACTTAGCACGAGGTGGCGTCCAGGTGTATTTTTGTTCATGAACTTGGTTTCGGGTCTCATTTGGTCTAAATAAATGGTGACCCTATCCATCCACTGACGTGGCATGCTGAATGTGCATTAAAGTGAACCTGACATGTGGAGCCCACTTGTCAGGTCCTTCCCTCATCTCCGTTTCTTTTCTTCTCTCTATATCTCACCGCCATCTCTCTCTCTCTCTCTCGAACCGCCGCCGCCGCCGCCCTCTAATCTCGCTCGCCGGTGCCGCCCTTCACGATCACCGCCACCGCATCCCTCTGAGCTCGCTCGCCCGCCCCCTCCCCGCGTCTGGCCCCGTCACCGCCGCGCCGAGCCCCAGCCTTGCCCGTTAACCGTGGCCTCCACCACCCGAAGTCTGCGCCCTGGAGCTGGGTGAACCAGACACGTTCATGAGCAGGCCATCGGGCTAATTGCGGACAGGCACATCGGAAAGGAAGGCTTCGGCGGGGGAGGGCGTGCCTCCATCCCACATTGAGATCTCCAGCGTGGCGCGTATCATGCACGGCGGACTCGAGGCGCTCGTGCCAGTGAAATTTTTGCATTTTGGTCCCTTTTGAAAACATTTTTTTAAAAAAGACCCCTGCCAAAACGTTTGCTGAAAATAGATCAATTTTAGGCGTCTTAGGACATGACGCCGAGGTATGAGGGTCGGCGTCGACTGACACGACGCCGAGGTCTTGCCACGTCACGAACGACCCCGATCGACGACGACACGGTGGCGCATGGGGCCCACTACGTCGGCGTCGTGTCAGCCAACGCCACAGAGGCCGAACCTCGGCGTGTAGTCCCACCACGCCGAGCTACCTGTACAATGAGATTCAAAACTCAATTGTACCCCAGAAACGCGACTGAACATAAATCTTTGTCCTTTCGTATCTCCTGATCTGTTTAGTTCTGGCACAAAATGTAGTAACAAAAGTTGTAGATCTATATGAGTACTACAACTTTTCTTTAAGGTTCAAAGTCTTATTTAGTCTGGTTGGAGAGATACAAGGCTCCAAAGTGGGGTACATGAAAACTGAAATCCTGAATTCAGTCATCCAGACTTAGCCAAATTTTGAGCTCCCCAAAATAGTGATGGATTCCAACTTTAGGGCTCGTTTTGACTTTCTTACAAGCTTATCTAGCTCTTGGTCCAAAAATAAAGTTTGTTCTACTCCACTCAAACTTCAACTTTTATTTAAGGTGCAACTCCATAAAAGCACTGTAAGCAATTGGTCAACACTGGTCAAAATAGCATCACGGTAAAGCTCAATTTAGAGTTTTTGACCGATTGAGGCATTTTCTTGACATTTGCTCAACATGAATCCTTCATGACTTTTGTTGTAGAGTTCATCTAGAGTCATTTGGGCAAGGTTGCAAGGTTTGGTTGATGACACATGTTCTCATTCAGTTAATAAGACCATTCCAACAAGGATATAACTTATCATTTCAGGTGACTTTTTTATTCCAAACTTTATAAAACTTTTCCAGTGACTCTAGCTCTGACTCTAGCAGTAGATTCAGAGTTATTATACACAAACACAACAGTTGTTGCATATACTCTTACTTACGAGGTATTCATTTGTGTTCATGCTTCTATTAGTTATTCTTTGATGATGCTGTTGCATGGTGTCAAAGAGGATTTGTATTTACGAAGTGATGCCAAATGCAGGAACTAGGCAATGACCTCAAAGTGGATAACGGCTTTGCTTCTGGTTGTGTCCCCCAAACTGTTGACGATAGTGATGATGATGACATTCTAGGAAACTGGGATGATGAGGATGCTGGTGGGAGAAGCACCAGGGTTGCTAACTCTGTTGATGATTCTGGAGACGAGGTATTTTGATGTGCCCCCTTGGTGGCTGTATGCATTTACTTTATTCTTTTGAGAAACCTGCTATGTATTTAGTTTGCTTCAATCATATATACTTCTGCATGAAACTTGTTTAATGTTAATCCAGTATGTAGACTAATAAAAAACCCATAAGGTTCCTTACTTTTACTTGCACCTGTTCCTTTGGTTTTCAAACAGCTTTTAGCTACATAGCTGTACTAGAAAGCCATTCAACTTTGTTTTTTCCCTTATATTTTGGCACAACTGGGTTCTTTTAGGCAAAACAGCATGTTCCCATGAAACCAAAATCCTTAATTTTGTAAGAAAATCGTATCGGTAAGATGGTAAGCAAGATAGTTGTGTCAATCATAAACTTGGTGAAAGGATCAAGATGCCCAAGAGGGGGGGTGAATTGGGCTAATTCTAAATTTTCTTGCAATAATCAAATCCTACGGATAGCCCAATTAACCCCTTGTGCCTAAAAGGTGTTTATATCAAACTAATGCACAACAACCTCGCAACCAATGTTCCAAACTTACTCTAGCAAGCAATTATATGGATGTAAGACAAGTATTGAAATGCTCAAAGTAAATACTCAAAGTAAGTGCTCAACGTAAATAGAGAGAGAAAGGAACGCGGCGATGTTTTGCCGAGGTATCGGAGAGTCGCCACTCCCCACTAGTCCTCGTTGGAGCACCCGCGCAAGGGTGTAGCTCCCCTTGATCCGCGCAAGAAGGATCAAGTGCTCTCTGGGTTGATTCTTCGACACTCCGTCATGGCGAATCACCCAAAACCGCTCACAACTTGAGTTGGTCACCCACAAGCTCCACGGGTGAACACCAAACTCCCAATCACCACCAAGCCGTCTAGGTGATGGCGATCACCAAGAGTAACAAGCACGAACTCTCACTTAACCCACATGAAGCCTAATGAGAAGATGGATGCACACTTTGCTACTCTTGATTTGCTAGTGAGGCTACTCTCTTGGATTCTCAAATCACAAACACCTCACTAGGACCTTGCTCTTCTTGGCACTCACAAACGTGTTTCTCAGCTATTGGAATGAGCAAAAGATCCTCCACTCACGAGTGGACCTTCTATTTATAAGCCAGCCTGAAAAACGAACCGTTATGAGCTTTTGCGGGACGACCGGACGCCCGATCGTGATGACCGGACGCTCGGTCAGTTCAACCCGTGAACCAGTAGATAAAGAGTCGACCGGACTGGCGAGGTCCGTTCAGACGACGGACGCGTCCGGTCGCATAAAACCCTTATGGAACCTTCTTGGACTCGACCGGACGCTGAACCCTCGTGGTCCGGTTAAGACCGAACGGACGCGTCCGGTCACTCTTTCCCAAGTCTCGGACCTCATCTGGAGTCGACCGGACGCTGAACCCTCGTGGTCCGGTCAAGACCGACCGGACGCGTCCGGTCACTCTTTCCCAAGTCTGGACCCTTTATTGGAGTCGACCGGGACGATTTGAACCCTCGTGGTCCGGTTCCGACCGGACGCAGCGTCGGTCACTCTTTCCCAAGTCTCGACCCTTCATCGATCGACTGGTTTGGTCCTCGGTCGGTCACATGACCTTTCGGCGTCCGGTCACATCAGACTTGTTCACCTCAAATCAAATGAACTGACCGGACCCACGGCCGGCCGGTCGGTCAGACCGAGCTGCCGTCCGTCCAAGGTTTGACCCTCCATTCACTTCCAACTTCCGAATATATGTGAATGAATTTTGCTCCAAAAGATCTTAGGCATTCATAGGAGCTACCTAGAGCTAGTTTAAACAAGTGTGCACCACACCTAACTCACTAGACTTAACTAGGTCAAGCTACCCGTTCATACCCCCTTCTTAGTAATACGGCCAAAGGAAAAACAAAGTCCTAAACTACTCTAAGTGTCTCTCCAACTTCAATTGACACTTAGAACTAGTTATCCTTAACCTTGTCGTCCATCCTTTGAAAACCGAAATGATTTCCATCGTAGGGGCATGACAACCTCAATTGCCCAATCGATCTCCATTACCATGACCTAACTTAATTGCCTCTGCAAAACACACGTTAGTCATAGTAATCTTGTATTGACATCAATCACCGAAATACAACTAGGGGCCTAGATGCTTTCAATCTCCCCCTTTTTGGTGATTGATGACAACACCACCTCGAGTATGTTATGGAGTGAGGTTTTTTGACGGGCTTGGTTCATATAAGCTTTTGTCAATAAGAACAAAAGAGTTAGTCAAGCTTATATGACCCAAGCCAACACAATGTACTCAAAGAATATGGATTAACCATGAGTACAAATAACAAAGCTCATTTGCTTCAAAGTATAAACGCGGAAGCAAAATCAAATGAGCATCACACAAGTGATATGACATATAGATAAAGCAAAGTAGAAGTCACACATGTCAAATATCACAATCACGTAGATAGCACTATCACATATATATAATAGTATGCATGAAAGTAAACACACGAATGCATAAGTAATAGTGTATCACACAAATAAAACTCCAAATGTATATAATAAGCTAATACTAGATAACTAGCTCCCCCTAAAACTCGCTCCCCCTAAGTCTACATACTCAAACCCTCTCCCCCTTTGGCGTCAAACACCAAAACCTAGGGGTCGGACGGGGGGGCTGGGCGCATGTGACGAGTCGTAGCGCTCAAGCACGTGGAGCAAGATGGGCCAGGCGCCATCATCATCTCGACGAGCTCTGAATCGACCGACCCTCTAAAGGTGAAGTGTCATTTGAAACGGTCTCGGGTCGATCTGGGGCTGGTCTTTGCTGTGAAGTCGCAAGTATGTCTGTCGTGAGGATCGACGAGGCGACTGACGAGGGAGCCTCTGAGTAGTCATGATAGCTGGAGTTGTGAGACGGACCGGCAAAGCATGCATGTGAGGCGGAGTAGGCATGCCGGTCAACTCACCGAATGATGCTCCAAGACTCGAGACCGACGACTCGAGCCACGAATAGTGAGGAAGTCTGCTCTCGTGAGAAACCCGTGTGATAAGGAGGAATCTGTGGGGCTACACAGGTGAGGCTAACCTTTGGGACACTGTCTGAGGAGGTGAAGGAAACCGAGCGGGAGGCTGTCCTCGACTCAAGCCCAGCCTGGGGCTGTCTTCGCTGGAGTCGTCGAAGTGGTAGGAGGCTGTGCAACCTGGGGCGAAGGCTGTGGCAGTGGGACCCCAATAGCTGTCACTACATCTTTGCATGAATCCCATGTTCTTCTTGCATAAGTAATCTTTGGTCCGGTGAAAGAAGCTGCTGCTTGCCATTGAAACTCGCCCCGACGAGCTCAAATCAGGCTTGAAGTTGGCGGTGTCTCTGCTGTGGTTCGTTCGATCTGCTGCATCCGCTCAAGAATAGCAATGAGAGCGGAGTGCATGCGTGGGAGCAGTGGAGCAGAATCTGGAGCTACACCGCCTCTGATCGTGTCTGCGTGGAGGCATCGAGGTATAGGGTGGTAGTCGCCGCCGAGCTGCCATGTACTCACTCACCTCTGTTGTGCCTCTAGCTCCTCCTCCTCGGTGGCTGCAATCCCTCCGATTATCTCATCCTTTGAGCTGCAGACTCTAGCACGTCGGGCGACGGCTAGGGTGGACTGGGTGCCCGAGGAGTGGCGTGTCGATCCTCTCGTGATGAGGTTGTAGCTGAAAACTCTGTAGTGGCACTCAGATACTCATCCATCATGCCAGGGGCTTATCAAGCACTACTCTGCTGATGAGGAATGTGATCCATGAGCATAGGGAAAGCGCACTGCGACCCTTGAATCCCTCACTATAGTATCCTCCATCTCTCGAAAGAAGGAGGTCCCGGATGTCAAACATCACATCTCATGCATGATGGCATTGAGAAGCCGAGTCAGAAGCGAGTCAGCCCTCCCTCAGATCCCAACACCGGGAAGCAGTGTCCTCCTGATGATGGCCTCTAGTATCCTCGCTGTAGGAGTCAAGTCACTGGGGTTCCTGCTCGACCCCTCTCCAAACGGCTCCTTGAAGCAATGCCGCACTAAATCTGTAGGGGGCACCTGCCCTCCATGAGGACGCCTCGGGAGGCTCTCGATGTCCATAGCACACCTCATGCATCTTTACAGCTGCTGCCTCTGTAGTCTCAGTATCTCCCTGACTCTGCCACTAGTCACTCTGTAGTCTTTGCCTTTGAAAGCAAAGTGAATGAATCTGTGATGAGGATCAATGTAGAGCGAGGCATAAAACTGACGGACCCAAGAAGGTACATATATGCCCGTCCGTCCAATCAAATCTGTCAGTCCTGGCAAATATGACAAGTATTTGAATGCCCTCTCCATTTGCCGCCACAATGGACTCTATCCGATGAGACTCTCCGTGATCCGAACAACGCCCCTTGTTAAGATATGCATTGTAGAAATCCTCATGCAAAGTGGCGTGTAGAACCCTCATTTGCTTCTCTCATCCTCCTCGGAGGAAACCAAACCTCAAACTCAACAAACCTTGTTCTTTGAACCCGTCTGGTCAGTGGCCCTCAAGTCGAGGTGAACCACTGGAGGCGGACCCTGTGGTCTGGGCGGAGGGCGAGAACCCCTGCGCTGTGTAACTGGCCTAGGTGGAACTACAGCACTGGTACGACTCGAGCGGCGTAGCTGAGGTGCCGGCTCGGTCTCCCGACTCTCCCGAGTCTCCTAGGGTGGGTTGAGGCTCTGCGGTGGGGGAAATTGCTTTGTTGTCTTGACGGACCCTCCTCAATGGCGCGACCGTCGTCGTCGCAAACGTGGCGCCCCAATTTGGACTACCGTGGACGACGCTCAACCTCCTCAATCGCAGCTCGAAAGTCTTTGGTGAAACCGGCCGATCTGCAATGACAACTCATTGCGGGCACCTCCTCTCTCGGCACGCTCTGCAGCCCTCTGCAGCATTCTTTGCTCTCATTGTCTCTGCGTCGGGTACTTCCACTTCTTGGATGTCACCGCTTGGTTGCCTTGCCCTTTGATCCAATTTGGTGGCGAGGCGAGGGCCTCCGATCATCATCACCGGGCCACCACCAACGTTCTTGGTGCGAGCCATCTGAACAGACAAGATGGTGAACTGCCGCTGATGAAGATCAACTATCAAACTGTCGCTTTTGAGGCTTGGCCTCGATCCTTACTCGCGAG